CTGCATAAATGTTTTTCCCCGTGTCACCACACATTACACCGCAAATCCGCAATTTTTCAGTATCTTCAGTTTAGAATTGTCATGACGGCAGCTATTGGTTGTGTTCTTACCACGATTGTTTGCATCCTAGTTAGGAAAGAAAAACTTGGAACTGAAAGGGATTTCGAAATAGCGATTTGAGAAATAATTTTGAAATTGTGCTAATGCATCACATTATTAGAGATATAGCAAAACATGACTGGAATGACTAATCATAGATTGAGGAACAATTCATGAGATCGTCACAGATATCTTAAATCATAGTAAAACAAATTTAGAGGAATGAATTAGATTGCTTCGAAAAGCATAATAGTATGACAAAGAGAAACTTCGCTTAAAAGGAAACAGTACATGAGAGGTGATTCATTAGAGGTCGTTTGGCACAGAACAGGAATAAACAACAAGTAGAGCATTTATAACATGAGGTTTAATGCATGTGAGAGTAAATCCTACGATGAGACCAGAAGGCTTGAATGACAGTCAGTGTTTGGAAATTGGCGATGCGCACAGAAAAAGCTGCCGTCTATGAATTCTGCTAAATTTTTGCTCTTGTGAAGAATGTATGTCATCGAAAAACGTTCTCCATTTCTCCTCGGACGCCGTGGGCGAGATTTCATATCAAAATCTTGCACAGTATATGGACAACGCATCTGAAATTACTTGTCCATCTTTCTTTCTATNATTTCGCACCAGCATCGAGAATTATTATCAGAAACATTCGATTACATTTATGTGATTCAAGCAAAACGGCATCAAACACTTTCGTCGATTGAATTATATCAAGTCAATTTTGATATAAAATCATATTTCACGTTCATTTCATCCTGAATTGTCATCACGAAACCTCAAAACAGCTTTCATCAATTAAAAACGAACATCTTTCATTGAGAAGTTTGGTTTCTAAGATTGAAAAAAACGAAATATTAGCATTTAAACGATTCTCTTTAGCAAATGATCTCTAACGAGTTTAGTTTGCGAGAAAAGGGAGAGCATTTCGAAGGTGTTTCTTCACTGAGATATTCAGGGGACTTTGTTGAGATTGGAGTTAAATTGTTGCTGAAGTGTTACCTTACCCGAGATCACTTCTTCAGCTAACAATTTGTACTGTCAATTGGAAATATTCCACGTTCATAATCGAATTCTTCAGCATCTTCGCCGATATTCACTACGTCACCGCTTCGTTTGCGACTGATTTCAGTTTGAAGAAAAGGATTGAATACATCTTTTCCTGAGTTGACAACCAAAGTTATCATAAATGATGAATTGTAACTCAAAAATCCATCCAAGTGATGAGAAAATTGCTCGAATAGTTAGAACGATTTTCTGAAGAAAATTCACACGTATCGGTGTGATAGTTTGGAAATTAGGTGAACCTCGATATGGCTGTGGTGGTTGCCTAATGGCCCATTGATGGTAGCAACGATGCCAACTTAGCTGAGGTTTGAAACGGCGATAGATTTTCAGTGCGGGTTTCTGAAGTAAACCAAAATTTACTATAACAAAACTTTACAGATTATTAAAACTTAAGGTATGATCAATGAATTGAACTTATGCTATATTAGCAGTTTCCAATAAGTTTCTCGAACGACACCTTATATTTACTCCCATTTTCGGCGGAAATCAACAGTTCTAGAGTGATCTTTCCTCATCTAAGTCCTCCGAGCTATGGGTAATGCGATTCGATCCCTTTCATGAGGTGCTATCCGTAAAATGACAATACTCTCCAAAAACTTGGGAGATTTTCATCTTTTGACTTCCGAAGAAAGTAAAAGCTTTCATGATTTAGTGTGAACAGTACAATTGGTTTGCGTTGAAAGACTGGTTCTTTGCTTAAATATCGCTGAACCGCATCCAGCCATTCCACATCGTCATCTCGCATCAGTACCGCAGAATGCTCGGATAGCTCACTGATCGGTTTGAACGACGAGAAATCATACGAAGTGTCCGACGAATGAACGCTACTTTCGCTGAATGACGTTCTTGACCTAAAATTACTTGCCACTGGATTCGTAGCACTGATTTCGGATTTCTATTGCAGAAGCACTAGTTGATTGTTTGAGATTTTATCAATGAATTAGTTCGGTATCATTTCCTATGGCCTTCGTTCTCATAGATTTTCTGGTGCCATTACCAAAACGACTGGGTCTAAGAAAAGTTCCAAAAATTTTTCGCTAGAAACCTTTCATTGTTCTCATCAGTGGTGCGCAGTTCACCATCTGTGTCCACTTCTGAGCTATGTGTTGAAGACTCTGTTTCCTCGAATTCACTTTCACCTGTTGGTAAACTC